AAATTGCTTTTTTATTGAAGCTATAGATCTCAAGAGTGCCTGTGTCCTACACGTTATTTCACAACTGGTTCATTTCCCCCTTATTCTTAGCATGTGGGATAATAAAAGAAAGTTTTAAATAATCATTATCCAAAGGGTAAGTCTGAATGTTGTTTATCAGCATGCTTCTGAAAACATCATTCTATACCTAATTTAATGCCATGCATAAATGGTATTTGCTGGACAGTTGGAAAACAGAAACATCCGTGCTAAAAGTCAGTGGTAAACACCAAGTTTAGAAAATGGATTGCAAAGATCACATGTCCCAGAACAGGCCATATGCTTTTACCTACATGATGAATAAAAAAAGAACATTTTCCCTCAATTTATGCTGTCTTCAACATTAACAGAGGGAGAGTTCTTCTAAACATGTTGCATCGGATGCCTTTAACAAGCAAGAATTTGTAACTCCAAGAACTCAGCATATGTAGGCTATGTCCATACAGAGAAACCAGCTTTTGGGGGAGGAAGAAGCAAAATATCACTGAATTCAGTCGGTTAATTGAATTTAAAATACCTGGTTGTTTAAATTCAACTGATTTCTTTGTCAAACGTATTTCTATTTTGACACAGCTACAGTTGCCCAAAAAAGCAAGCTTGGAGAAAATACACATTACACTCCTTAGAGTTTATATTAAAAAAAAAAAAAAAAAAAAAAAAAAAAACAGCTTGCAACAATTAAAAGACAGAGAAATCTTGTAAGGCTGGAAACTTCTGTGAATTATCACCATTCCATTATACCATGCTTCAATTTTGCTTCCAGCAATTTGAAAGTTACTCTTAAGCTTTCTGTGAAGGGATCACGAGCCCAAGACTTAATCTCCACCATAGCTCCTATCTTTGAGGCAAATAAAGAAAATATTCTGCCCTATCTGCAGGCGAGCCCCCTTCACCAACTAGATTCCAAAAAGAGCAGCTAGAAGAGGAAGCAGGGAATCTGCCTGTGGTGTTTAGAGGATGCTAGTACAGGACAGGGGCTTAGAGGCCCACCAGTTCCAAACTACTCATTCTACAGACACGGAAACTACAATGAAAGGCACCCAATGAAGGGGGAAGGGAACCCAAAGTTTCACAGTTCAGAGTTAGAATCCAGGCATACTGGTTCCCAGACCAGTGTCTGTCCATTATCATTAAAAGTCAAAATTTGGTGGGATGCCTGGATGGCTCAGTTGGTTAAGCGTCCGACTTCAGCTCAGGCCAGGATCTCATGGGTCGTGAGTTCAAGCCCACTTGGGATCATCTGTCTCCTTCTCTCTCTGCCCCTCCCCCACTCTCATGTGTATGCTCTCTCTCTCTCTCTCAAAAATAAATAATTTTTAAGTCAAAATTTAGCTCTAGAAAAATGAAAAATCCCAAGAGACCTCAATCCTTACTCCCTCAAACCTGTTTTGGTAATTTTCCCACTGCCTTCATGGAAGGGTAAGCATCTAGTTATAAGGCCTTTACAAATTTTTATTTTATCTCTCTTCTTCTTTTACTTTATTGTTTGGTAATCAAAAATAGTTTATCATAATGCTCTCAAATGGACTGTCATCCTATTACAGGCAGATAATGTTATTTCCTAGCAGAAAATGGCAACAGGGATGGAAAGGATGACTTTTTTTTTTTTTTTTTAACGTTACAGTTTTTTCTATAACAATTTCATATTCTAGGTGCAAAACAGTTAGGAGTTCTCTCACCCTTAACTTCTACAAAATCTAGATTGATTCAAATTCAGAATTTGATAAAATCCCATAGTTTAGGAGGATGTATTCTAGCAGAAAGCTCTTGGTTGGCTCTATTTCGTTTTTTCTTCCCCGAAAGATTTTTCAATAGTTTTCACTTTTAAAAAGATTTCAACTTTGGATTGTGCCAATGCCAAAGTCTCTATACATCTAATCAATCAATAAATACGCCAAACAAAGCAGCATATGTTTATCCTTTACATTTGGGACGTGTACATTAATTACTGCAGATTGTCTCCT